TGAGCGTGATCAGGAGATCCTTCAACTCCGTCTCCTTGCGCTTCTTGACGGGCGTGCTGTCGTCTCCGCTCTTTTTAAGCGACTCGATGGCAAGTCGACGCGCGACAAGCGACGTCTCCTCCTCGCGCTCGCGCTTTCGGAGCTCGGTCTCCTTCGCGGCGGCCGTCTTGGTTGCATGGTCGTCAAGCATTGCCACCAGGTCGTCAAGCAGGATGACCTTTTCCGACTAGTCCTCGTCCACGCCCGACGCCTTCGCCGACTCCTCCGCTGCAGCACGGTGGGCCTCGACTAGCTTGTCGAAGCGCCCGCTGGCCGTCTTGCCACTCAGCTTGTTGCGTGGAAAATTCTCGTCTACAACAAGCTTAGTTGCAAGGGCATCCCACGCTGCCATGATGCCACCTCGCTGCCGGAGGAATGGGCGTTCCGCGTGGATTTGGCGCAGCAGAGCCAGGTCTCCATCGTCTGTGAAGTTCTTGCGACGCGGCGCTCCAGCCATGGAGATCTGAAAGTGCTGCACTCGTGGCCACGAGTGGTGTTGGTTGTGTGAACCACACGTGTTTGGTGGAGAAAGCTGTCTCCACAATCGCGATTTCTGTGGACTCCAATCCTCACTGCTGGCCCCACTGGACCGTCTCTCGACTGTTTTTTGGCTTTGTGGGGATAATGTGCGGGTGGAGTGACTTGCGAAAAGTCTCTAATGTTGGCTCACATCTCTGCACAAACATTAAAGAGGACCTTACTAGCGCGGATGGTAAGCTCACTTGATGTTACTAGCAGTGGCAGCAGCAGCACCTTTCACCATCAGCGACCTCAATGGAGGAGGCCTCTTCCGACTGAAGAACGATGAAGCCGTCCACCATTCACAACATGACGGGATGTCTGCTGTCGCAGGCCTCTAGTAGCCACTTGTCACCGAGTCGGCGGTAACGGAGGTCGCGGCGCCATCAACTATTAGAGTCGCACGAGAACTTTCAGTCAACGTGGTAAGCCAATATTCGAATGTGCAATTATTTGTCGGGCGTCACAGTACTTACTCCTTAAAAAAATCCTAGGTATTTCTTGCCTAACCTTCCATCTTACCTACCCTAAAACTGTCTTTCATAAACCGCCGCGAAATCTAGGGGTTTCACAAACATCCTCACGTGAACCAGTGCCATACTCAATAGTAGTATAAATGCGCAGCCGATAGCTATTCTCAAGAAGTATCCTTCCCGCTATGATAATCATTTCCAAATTTGCCAGAAAGCTCTAGCAACTCCATCCTTCCGGTTCATTTCAAGATGCGCCGACCCTACTCTCTTATCGTGATAATGGCTGCTTTCCTAGCCTTAGGCGGCAAGTCCTGTCGTGAGTGTGAAGGTCGGATTATCTAACCGAGTCGACGCGGCCCACGGCTTCGAAGGCCACTCAAAACAATAGCCCTCGGGTCAGATCTCTCAGAGGTATGCAAGAGAACCCAGACGTTAACGCTGGACCGTGCGATATATGGCTCGAAGGCCATATGACGGAGTGCCGAACCCGAGAGCCCAGTGGGTAGCGTATCACCGAAAGGAATTTTCATAATCCAGTAGCAGTGTACTGATTTTTCTAAATTATCAAATTAATTCATAACATGGAGTGTTAATATATACTAAGTTTGCTCCCATTGACCACGAAAGGGTTAAAAAAAAAAAAACAGTAGCAATCATAAGCACGCATGCGTTACCGAAACATTCTATTGCAAGTGCACAACTGAAATGTTGGCACTTTATGGCCCAACTTGAGATATTCTCCGGGTTGTAGTACAATGCGCTCCGTGAGTCGCGAAATTGCCACCTCGACGTCTGTAATCGATGAATCACTACGTATATTTGCAGTGAGGCCACATTGCAAATTTTTACAGCAAAATATTGGTTTATCCTCAGCAATCCTATATGCATAACGACTTCTTGCATTTCGCAGCACTTTCGTTTTTGCAAGATGCCTCCACCTAACAAGCGCAAAAAGCACGCATGAAGTTTTAAACGAACGGCTGACGGCTCCTTCTAAGCTTAAGCTTAATCGGAATCAACCGTCGCGCCCTCCAGTACCGAAGATGCTCTGGCCAGTACTGCGACTAACCAGAGAGGTACGGGGTTATTCGCCTAGATGCATGCAAGACGCGGAGGAGAACAAGAAATGTACGACGTAGAGCGCCTCTATGCGAAGCGCTGGGTACACAGTTTAGAGGTACAGTTGGTCGGCTATCGTGAACTAACCTGGGAACCTGCTAAAATCCTACCATGGAAGCTCAGAGTTGAGTTTGAGTTGGAGACCATCGACTTTGTGTGGTGTGCCAACCTACAGGGGGAGACAAAGGAAGAAGCTATCTACACGCCGCAGCAACGCATAGCAAGTCAGTATCACTAAATAGGTTAAGTTCGCAATTGGCAATATAACGAACTTAACGTGTCCTGAACACAGTGCTGCTGATTAAACGGCTATTTTCCTAAAAAAAATCAGTACACCACTACTGGATTATGAAAATTCCTCGTATTACCGACTGAGTTTTTGGCGTTCACACCAGTAACGGTTTGGGCACCAAGTAGGCAATTTCGAATAAATGAGCTTTCGATTGAATTCACTTCAAATGTCTTATTACCTTTCATTTCTTACATGAAATGTAGAGTTGTACTGACGTACTTTCGTAACGCATACAGCAAACTTAGATTTTTTTAAATAGCCACGAGTGCTATACTAACATCAATAGAGTTCCCGCTTTCTGCGCCCACAGCACGCAGAAAGCGGGAACTCTATTGATGTTAGTCGCTTTTGAAGTCGCTATTACGCGGAATCTTGCAGCTCCACACTCTATTGCGCTATCGGCAGTCCGAGCGCTTGACGTACGCAATTAAACATCAAGTCCGCCCACCGTACGTGAGAATTCCGCAGTTCATCCAATACCTGACCAGATACCGTCATAGCAGGATGTCTCACAATGTTCAGCGCCCATCGCGTGACAACCACCACAAGCTCATCTTCACCCCCTTTACTATCTCGATACGACGTGACCATCGTGACAGTCGTGGAGTCCCGTCTAATGCGTTCATTCGGCCTGTACGGGTATCTCTCGTCTTGATCCACAAAATCCGACGCCATGATCGCGTATCGACCATTTTCAGCGAATCGAGTGTCTTCTGTTTGATACTGTGCGCAGTCCGAGAACAACACGAGGTTTGTCTCAAGTTGTATGCCCAAGGAACTTTGTGACACAAAGCGCATGTGTGATAAATTCTCGTCTCCCAGTTCATCATCCTCCCGAATAGTAATATTCCCCGACGACTCGGAAATAATGATCTCGGCATTAAACACAGCTTGTTGCAATGCTGCAAACACTTCCTGTACCCCTCCTTTGGCTCCTCTGAATGGGGTCACATCGAACCGTGCAATGCAGTAATCCCCGTCCATAGTATCGTACCGTTCTTCCTGGAAATACGGGGCTGTAGGACTCAAGCCCTGCATCCTTTCCATTAAAAATCGCCTAGCTTCGTTCAGTTTAGGTCCTCTCAAGGCACTTAACGTCCTCATTCTGTCGTCTTTATCTCTTCCAAGACAAATTCTCATCTCTGTCGGATGGACGCGATACAAACACTGTTGCGAGTGGCCTGCTACCATCGCCTGCGCTCTGGCTAGTACCAAGTGCTGCTCTTGGACTGCCTCTCTTAGAACTGCAGTTTTAGCTCTGCGCTTCTTGTCGGATTGGGACTCGTCGCCTTGTTCCACCATGGTCTTTAATTTCAGCATTTCCAGTTCTTTTTGCAGCATTTCAATCTCCTTTTCGAGCGTCTGCATCTCCTCTTTGCGAATCGTGTGTGTGGCCTTCCGTTTCTTGTAGATTCGCTTCTTTTTAGCAGGTTTGGCCACCATTTCAACGTCGGGGGACGAAATTTGAGGTTCTGTCTTGGCATTTTCATCTTTCGAGCGAACGACAAGGCCTCTCAGCGCCGCGGCGGCGTGGCGATCGGCACCGTAGGCTTCATAGTCATCTTCGGTGTTGTCTTGGGGCCGAAACGAGCTCGGGAAAGCCCTGGTGGACGGCGTTGGAAGGTGGTAATGCGCACCAATCGACGGCATGCTACTACAACTGACGGTACCGTGCTACTGTACTGCGTAAAACGGCAGGATGATATGATTGGATGAAAACGTGAACATTGTTTTTAGACCAATACGAGAAAAGTTGAAGTGCCTATTTTCGACAGGTGGTGGACGTGTATTGGTCACGGAAGAGAACAAACTGACGTAGAAAGAGCCCCC